AGTCATCTACCCTTCATCTTCTAGAATTAACTCTCACTTCTGATCTTTCTTGGAAACCATATATCAAATCCGTTGCAAAATTAGCATCTGCTAAAGTTGCACCTCTTTATCGAGCTCGACACTTAATTACTTTGAATTCTATTCTCTATCTCTATAATTCTCAAATCCGACCTTGTATGGAATACTTTTGCCATATCTGGGGCGGATCTTCTAATGATGCCCTTTCTCTTTTAGACAAGGTGCAAAAACACATTGTAAACATAGTTGGACCTGCTCTTGCAGCCAACCTTCAACCTCTGTCACATCGTCGTAATATTGCTTTTCTTGCTCTACAAATACTATAATGGGCACTGCTCTAAAGAGCTAGCGTCTCTTGTGCCATCTACTAAAATTCATTCTCGTGTTACTCCTCATTAAATTAAGTCTCATCCTTTTTCTGTTACTGTTCCTAAGTGCTCCAAAAACTCTTATTCTTCTAGTTTTTTTCCTCGAACATCAGTTCTTTGGAATTCGCTTCCTTCATCTTGCTTTCCTGATTCATATAATTTGCAATATTTTAAGTCAATCATTATCTTGCTCTGAAATCTTCATCTTTTCTCTTCCAGTAACTTCCAACACTAATTAGTGGTTGCTTGCAGCCTTGTTGGAAGCGAAGATGTTAAAAAAAAAAAATAAGAGAATAAAAAAAATAAAAAAAAAATAAAAAATAACACAAACGAAACTCGCTTTACAAAAAAAAATTCCTCGAAATATTAAACCCAAAGATCACGATCCATTATGAATAGCCAAAACTAAGGTATTTTTTTTAGCGCAAAAAGTAAACTTATGCATACAAAATTGCGTTAACAATATTTTAAAAAAACCAATAGGCGTTGTAAAATACAAGATGTAAATACAGTTTTATTTTCATCAACTTTTGAGTTTTTTTGCTAAGTAGTTATATGAAAAGCCATCTTACCGTATTCGCCATCATGCTCCATTTTCCCCTACATAGTTTTTTTTTTTTTTTTACATATACTTTAGTACATTTAGAGGTGTTTTTAAAATATTGCCAACACCAAAGATTTTTGAGATTAAAACAATCGATTCCGTTATTTATTTTATACTAGACGTTACTATGAGCGTCGTTACTAGTACTAGACGTTACTATGAGCGTCGTTACTAGTACTAGACGTTACTATGAGCGTCGTTACTATATACTAGACGTTACTATGAGCGTCGTTACTAGTACTAGACGTTACTATGAGCGTCGTTACTAGTACTAAAAGTACTAAAGGTCAATATTAAATTTTTTTTTTCAAAAAAAGTTTTGCAAATGAGGATTGTAAATTTTGCAGAGTCATAAGTTTTTTGGTTAAAAATATGATTTTATTTGTTTTTTACTAGTTAGTTGGTTTGTGGTTATCTAGTAGGAATTTAACGGCATTTGGACATCATTTCGCTCTTTTTATCTTTTTATCGAGAGCTATAATTTAAAGAAAATAATTGTAGTATTTTTAATTTTTAGTATTTTATAACTAAAAAGTTTTTAATAATTTTTAAGAAAGTTTAATAAAGATTTAAGAAATTTAATAAAGATTTAACAAAAAGTTAATATATATATCGGAAAGTAAACACAAACCTTTTTGTGTTAATAAGATAGTATTATAGAAAATAAAGAAATTACGGCAGCAATGGAACTTTCTAATGAAGCTAGAAAAAAAGTATTGGAAGAAATATACTCAGTATACAAAAAAGAAACGGAGTTAATGTTTAAAGAACAAGAAAAAAACTTGATAAGCATAATAACTGCAAATACCAAAATGACTAACGATCGAATAGCTAAAGTTGAAAATGATACTCACAAAAACGCTAAAATAATCAAGTCGCTTGAAAATAAAGTAGCGAGTATCGTAGAAAGTTTAAATTTCCACGAATAACTTTTTGATAGAAAAATAAAGACTTTATCTGATTCTCACAAGAAAGATAATGTTTTAAAGGAGCGATAAAAACTTATAACGATAATGTCGAGGTAATAAACAATACAAATATAGAATCTATACGTATATTAAACACTCGGACAGACAAGCTTAACAAAAAGCTAAAGAGTGCACCATTATCCAACAAGTTGGAATCATTTGCAACCATACTTAAGGGTAAATCAGCTGAGGAAGTCTAACATTGCCATCTACTAATCAACATCGTCACGGCTGAAACTGAAAATCGACAAAACCGGGCATCTAATGTCATAATCGTAGGGCTACCCAAATCAGATGTTTACGACAATATAATAGCTGCAAACAATTTTTTAATGCATTTGCTACAAACTAACATCTCCGACATGTCGCCGACGGCTTATCTGGAGTAAAGCAAACTTTGATGCAATTTCATTACATATAACTTCTAAAGAAATACCAACCAATCTCTCTGCAAACGATCTGTACAGTTGGTTTATTGACGTATACAACGAAGCTGTAAAATTGCACATTCCATCAACAACAACTCCATTTAAAATTAATCAAGATCTTTGGGTCACACCAAAAGTATTGGAAGCCGTAAAATTAAAATGTTCAACTTGGGCAAAATACGTTGCTGCTGGTAAAGATTCTCATGCAAAAATACGTAATGAACATCAGGCTGCATGCAAACACGTTTAAAAAGTGGCCAATGCGGCTGTCCTTCATTACGAACAACAACTAGTAAGCAGTTTCAAAGAATTCCCAAAACGTCTGTACTCACACGTAAAAAACAAGCATAAAGTACATAATCACATTAGTATGCTTGAAACTAGCGATGATAACATCACCGAAGACTCTAATTTTATAACTTCAACAATAAACAATTATTTTCATTCAGTTTTTGTCAAAGAACCCCCAACACCTTTACCAATATTTGAAGAGAGAACAGAATCAACTTGCAAAATCGACGAAAGTTTGTTTACAGCTGCTACAGTACAAAACTACTTATTCTGCCTTGACGACACTAAATCAATGGGACATGACGGAGTACATCCTCGTGTTCTAAAAAACTGGGCAAAAGCTTTTGCAATACCTCTTTCACTCGTTTTTAAGCAATCCTTTCAAACTGGAAATGTCCTAGATCTTTGGCGTAAATCAAATGTTACTCCTATCTTCAAAAAAGAAAACAAACTCAAAGCTTGTAATTATAGGCCGGTATCTCTTACCTCTGTACCGAGCATGGTAATGGAGAGAATTATAAAAGAGAAGATTATGAAACACTGTACACTACACAATCTAATTTCAAAATCTCAGCATGGATTTGTAAATCACAAAGGTTGTCTTACAAATTTAATTGAATCCCGTGACATTCTCACGAAGGCAGCTTACCGTGGACACATGACATAATATTTACAGACTTTACCAAAGCTTTTAATACAGTGCCACACAAAAGACTCCTTTACAAGATTCAGGCCTAGGGCATTAGAGGCCAGCTATTCCACTGGATCTCTGCTTGGCTAAGTGAAAGAAAACAACGTGTAGTTATTGGGGAACAAACTTTCGAGTGGAAAAGAGTTACAAGTGGAGTCCTATTTAAGTCCTATTGGAGTACAAATAGCAGTGGAGTCCACTGCTATTTGTGCCTTTTCATTGAGAAAAGGCACAAATAGCAGTGGTCCAAGTACTGATCCTCAAGGATCAGTACTTGGACCACTGCTATTTGTGCCTTTTGTCAATGACTATCCAGATGGCATTAGCAATTATACCAAGTTATACACCGATGATAGCAAGATCATAGGAATTATAAATGATAATCAATCATCCTCTGATTATGAAACACTGCAAACGGACATTGACAACGCTGTAAGTTGGTCACATAAATGGCTTATGCACTTCAACATCGAGAAGTGCAAAGTAATGCACGTTGGTTGCCGCAAAAATAAATCAACACATACCTATACCATGGCAGACATCAACGGTAATCAACATAACTTATCTCCAACGTGCATTGAGCGCGACCTTGGGGTACTAATATCCGACAACCTCAAAGTGAAAGAACAAGTAGAAGCAACAGCTTCGGCCGGAAATCGAATGCTTGGTCGCCTCAAAAAGACATTTCAATGCCATAGCCTCAAGCTTTGGAAGAAATTGTACCAGCTATACGTTCGACCGCATTTAGATTATTGTGTACAAGTCTGGTCTCCACATCTTAAATCAGAAATTGTCCTTCTCGAACGAGTGCAAAAACGTGCAACAAAAGTTATATCGTCGATTAAACATTTTAATTACGAAAAACAACTACAACTACTAGATCTAACCACGCTGGAAGAACGCAGAATTCGCAGTGACCTTACACTGCAATACAAAATTGCTCATCAGTTACAAGAAGTTAAATTTTACATACCACAAGCCCAGCCTTTTTTGTTAAATTCACCATATAATCTTAGAAGAAACACCCGATGTTTAAAACCACAACTGATCAAAAGAAATTCAGAACGTCAGCACTTCTTTACAAACCGAGTTACTAACCGATGGAAGAAATTAGCTCAGAATGTAGTTGACTGTCCACTGTGCACTTTTTTAAAAAATACGTTTAAAATGCTGTTTCGGCTGCAGCAATGTCTATCGTCAGCATAGGAAAGCCTGATGTGCTTCCCTTCATCAATTCAATTAAGAAGTTGTATTTGGTTACTGTAATAAATAAATTAAAAAATCTTTAAATCTTTTGTATTTTTGTATAACAAAATTATACGTTTTTTTTATAAGCAAAAGTAGAAATTTTTTTGTAATGTTATTGCACGCAAGAGCGCTTCTTATTTTTGAATTTTTCTTTTGTATCCCATACGTATTTTAAAAGCATATTTGTGTTTGCTAGTATTTTGTTCTATTTAATTTTTGAAGTGGAAAATTTATTTTTTGAAAAAAATAAATTTTCCACTTCAAAAATTAAATAGAACAAACATTATATATACTTTGACCAATCTTAGAAACTAAAAAGAAATTAGATGTTTATTTGTTTTGAAAAATTTATTTTGAAGTTAACTTTTTGAGGTAACAGTTTACCTGATAATTTACAACCGCATATGCTGCAGTCCACTTCCTCACTTGATTTGAAGCATTGAACTTTATTAAAAAGCCAATTTTTGCATCCACTACATATTTGAACATCGTACCCTAAAAAAAGTTTTAAAAATAGTTTAATCACCAAAAGTCATAACACTACTAGTGAAGGGACGGGAGCAGATATTTACAAAGTAACTGTTTAACTACTTTTGTGAAGGCAATTTATACGCTTTATTGCATATATTAGCATATTTTATACGCTTTATCGCATATTATAGTAGTTTCATCATTTCTCTACAAGAAATTAATTTATAAATTCAAAGACATTTAGAATTCTAATACCTGGAATCAATTTAACAACTTTAGATCACTTGGCTTTTTGGTACAAATAAAAGGTAAGTTATTACATGCGGATTATTGTAGTTTTACTCATCGGTTACTTAGTGGGCAATTAGTGGCAGTTGCCAAAAATGGTTAGCCAATGACTAACCACTATTAACATGTCGAAAAGTTATTAGCTTGCTATTTATAGCTGTTATCACTAATGTTCCACTAAGTAACCAATGAGCAAAACTCCAATGAACCGTAAAAAATGTCTATATAGCTCCACTGCAAATATACTAAAGAAATATTTGCTGGGTATTGCTTACTTTAGCTGATTATTTATGTATATAAAAAATAAGTGTACGCAAAAAAATAAAAGGTAGTAAATAAATGTAATAAAAGTAGCAAATAAATGTATGCAAAAAAATATAAGGTAGATTTGTAAATAATCCTCACTTTTTCTAATTTTTGCTTTATTTTCCTTTATTTTCATATTGATTTCATTTCATATTAATTTGCTGTACTTTGACAAATGTAAGCGCGACTTGATTTAAGATGTATGGTTTATTTTACTTCTGTGCGTACAAGTCTTTTGTAAACATATATATGTATATATATATATATATATATATATATATATATATATATATATATATATATATATATATATATATATATATATATATCTTATATATAGTTAAATTTAGAAAAATTTAGAAATAAATTATGAAGACGCATTAAAGCAATCGGGATACACCTATAAGTTGACATATAAACCAAGCATAAAAAATGTGACCCTCTCTTTTGTTGTACGTTTTTGTCGCCGAAGCCTTGGCTTTGGTGATAAGAGCAGACAGCAGAATAAAGGGTTTTCCTATACCGGGAGCACAAAAACCTCTAAAACTACAGCAGTACGCAGACAATTCGAACTTTTTTGCCAAGGACGTAAAATGTGTCCGCTATTTCTTTAAAAACGTAAAAATCTTCGAAAAAGCAAGTGGTTCTGTGATCAATGCCTCAAAAACTAAGGGTCTTGCTCTTGGGGGTTTTGATCCCGAAATTTACAGAGAGTTGGATAACATAGAGTGGAACGACGACACCGGTTTTAAAATTTTAGGTATTACCTTTTATACCAGATTAAGCAATACTACCAATTTCAACTGGCAAGTAGCTCTTAAGAAAATAGAGAAAAAGCTCAAGTTTCTGGGACTGCGTACTTTGTCACTTAGAGGAAAGGCTAATTTGATAAATACGCTAGCAATGTCAAAAGTGTGGTTTCTAGCAAAGATGTTGCCCACTCCTGATTGGGTAATAGAGCGTTTGCATAGAGCCATTTTCGAAAATCTGTGGCAAAAAACCAATTTTAACCCGGTCAAACGAGAGACACTTTTCCTACCCGTCGAAAGCGGGGGTCTCGGATTATTATCACCGAAGGAGCAAAGTCTTGCGCTCCGCCTCAAAACGCTTTTTCAAATAAAAGAGTGTGAAGAAGGCAAAACTCACGATTATTACTACTTTTCAAAGTATTGGTTGGCAAGTTCACTTGTAAAATTTAATAAACAAAACCAAAGCTGGAACTTTTTAAGACAAAACACTTTTCCAAAACACTGGGACAACAAAATGCCTCAGTACTACAAAACCACAATTGAATTCTTAAGCAAATACGGGTCCCTGTTTAACATCCCTCTAAAAACAACAAAAAATATTTATTTAGAAGTGGCAAAAACAAAAAGACAGTCGTGCCAGCTGAACTATTCTGGAACAGTTCAACAAAAACAACAATGCCGTGGTCCCAGATTTAGAAAAAAAACTTTACTTCCCACGCATACGGACCAACACAAAACATCCTCTTTCGATTTCTTCACAACAGCTTACCTTCCGCTGCCTTGCTTGCCAAAAGCACAAGGCAACAGATTGTTAAAAACAACAAATGTAAAACTTGCGGAAAAGTTGAGGACAATCTGCACATCTTTGTCTACTGTCCTCCTTCTGTTACAATATGGGAATACTTTAAACATGCATATAACTCCTTGACATCCCAAAAAAACTTTCCTCCAATAAATTCGATATTTTCGATTGAAACTGCGAATTTATCGGAGAAAAACTCTACCTCGCAGCTGCTTTTGACAATCACTCAATCCATTATGAGTGAAATATGGAACAGCAGATGCCATCATTTGTTTAACAATTCAAAAGTTGACCTAATGGCAGTGATCAGGTTAATTATCAGAAATATCAAAAATATTATTACTTTAAAATATAATTACCATGTCCGTAGAAACACTACGGACATTTTCTGTCAAACTTTTTGTATCAGTAACGTTTTTTGTCAAATAGAAAATGGGAACCTGAAACTAAACATATGAGCTGAACAAATACACTGGCTCATAACAAGAACTAAATGTTTAGTTAAGTTTTTCCTGTTTTCTACAAATATAATTTCTTTAAATACTACAAAAATATTGTTATTTATGATTAGACAAACACTGCCGGCCCTTCTATAAAATATTATTTGCAGGTCTCTTTGATGCTTTTGGTAACGTGGTATTTGTGTTTTAGTCCTGTACCTTTTTTTTACCTAATAAATTTTTTCTTTACTTAAAATAATTAATTAAACTTAATCAATTTCTTCTAAAAGCTTTTTCTTATTCTCGATTTCTCTCCGCACAAAGGCATTAAAATAAAAAAACACAAAAAAAATATAAAATCTAAAAATACAAAAAAATATAAAATCAAAAAACACAAAAAAATAAATAAAAAATTTTAAAACAATATATATATATATATATATATATATATATATATATATATATATATATATATATATATATATATATATATATATATATATATATATATATATATATATATATAAAGTCGGAAAGTTATTTTAATGGAAAAATATTATAAAATATGTTTAAAAAAAATTTAATAGTAAAACTTATGTGGAAAACCCTTTTTATTAATATGAACGATTATTATAAAAAAATATATATAAAAACAGAAATATTTCTTTAATTGTAAAGAGGATATATTTTTTATTATGCAGAAATAGTTTATAAAAATTGTAAATATTTATTATTTTGAAATAAATTTTATATATAAAAAAACAAACAAAAAAAAACAAACAAACAGTAACGACACTGAGTTATTCAAGGAAGTCTGGGAAGTCTGGAAAACAATTTTACATCTTCAATCAAATGGAATATTATTTAACGCTGTAAATCATACAATCCTGCGTCAAAAATTTGTAAGCTTTGTTTGAATTCGAAATTCGAAATATTGTTTCACAAAGGAGACAACTTGCTAAACAAAAGAGGCGAATTAGTTTCTAAATGTAGACACAAAAATAAATTTCTCCTTTCATTATTTGATAGCGGAGATTAGTTTTCCATTACGTGTTCTTGTACTAGAACGTCAGAACTCATTCTACCGTAGTTTGGAAATTTTAAACGGTTTTTTATATTTTTGATTTTATACTTCATGGCTGATGATTGCCGATAGGCATGAAACTTTAAGTTCCATTAAAAGTTGTTTTTTTCCTTATTAAAGTATTTTAACTTTTTATTTCTCTCTCAGAGCGAATTTATTTGTATTGAAAACAATATATTGTTTATAAGTTTGGGGACGGGACGGGGATGAAGTAAACGGGGGACGGGAGGGGGATGAAGTCAGAGGGTTTTTTTGTTCCCAGCCTCTTTATTACTCTACATAAGTATAAACATACAAATGTTTGGAGTTTGTCCCATGTCTGGAAGTTGGCTACCTCAAACACCAAAAATCCTAGATCCGTCACCGACACGAGTAACATTTAAATTAAAGAGTTTTGGCTTAAATTTATGACGCTTTTTTGCATAGCGAGTTGGTGTAGTATACGACTAATTTTTTTGCGCACAATCGTTTTAATATGGTAATATAATTCAAGTTAAAAAGCTTGAAGAATGTGCGATAAATGAGCTTGTAGGCATTTGAGCCTAACGCTGTTTCAATAAAAGGTTGACCAATCTGGTCTAACGTGCATTATTTAAACTATGGATGCACTAACATATGGATACCACGTACCATATTTTGGATACTGGAATATATATTTTAGTTAGAGATTGAATGAAGTATTTGTTTTTTATTCAAAAAACAAACAATTTATTCAATTGTTTGTTTTTTTAATAAGAAACTAACAATTGAATGAATTTGTTGTATAATTGACTTTTTTTATTCATCAACCTATACATCAATGATGTAAGGTGTTTGGCTTTAAAAATTATAAACAGTTGAAGTGCAACTTAAGCAGAATTTACACAGTTGCCTTAGGTGTTGTTTATCTTTTCATTATTTCTAGTAAATGTTAGAGGAAGCTTTTACAGAGAGTTATTTGATGACCCTCGCCAATTTTGTTCATTATTAATTTTTATCATACACTCAATTCATCAAGTGTCTGAAAAAAAAAATTGAACCGAAAATTCACTAAACTATAAAATTATTGTTTTTATAAAGGTTTTATCATAATTTATCTTTTAATAGTTAAACAAATTTCCATTATACCAATATCTTTAATTCCCTTACAAAAAATTTGAGTTATCCAAAGAAATTGGAAAATCCAAAAGAAATCCACTATTAGTTACTGAAAAGGGACGAAAATACGGTTCAACTTATCGAACTTTGAGTTATCCGAAGTTCGACTCAAACGGAGAACTTGAATTGTAATTGATTAGACGATTTCAAGGTACCAAATGAAACACACACATACAAACACACACACATATATATATATATATATATATGTATGTATA